CCTGTTCTCCCAGCTAGCCGTCACTGTAGGGAAAAGGGGCCCTTTCCCAATCGTGCCATCAAAAGCCCCAGAATTGAGTCTCATCCGACTGGCTTGGGTCACGTGCCCATCCCTGAAGCACTGTGGCCGGGGATAGGCAACAGTCTGGTTGGCCAGGCCTGGGACACACCCCCATTCCCTAGCACAGAGACAGGGCACTAGAGGAGTAGTCCTCCAAGGGAAATCAGGTGCTCTTACCAAGAGGAGTAAGGGAATACCAAATAGGCAGTAATGTTGGACAGCTGCTTTGCAGGGAGAACTAAGTGTGCCCATCCCTTGTGTGCCAGGCACCGGGCGAGGCCCCATGTGCATTAGTGATTGCACTAAATCCTCAAGGGAAATTAGAGAGAAGGACACTGTGGCCACAGAGGTTGGGTCCAGTGAGTCTCACCCAGTGGCACTGCTGGTGTTAGAATCCAGTGAGTGTGCCCTTTCACTCGCCCCCAAACCCTGGGCAAGACCAAAGCCCTGCATCAGGGCGATTCTCACTAAACGTTAGTTTTGTGCCTAAAAATGCAGACATCATATTGCATTCAGGGGTTGGTTCCAATAAGCCAATTAGGCGTGCCACAGAGTCCTTGTACCATATGTACAGAACTTTAAAAACTATAAACAAGAGATCAGAAATGAATTGTGTAAGCAGAATTTTTTTTCCATTTATGGGAATGCTTTTTTTTAATTGGTTTTAAGAAAACAATTGAAACTTTGATGTTCAATTGAAAGGTTGATGATCAACCTTTTTTCCCCTTTTTTAAAATTTATTTGACTAGCTTTATTTTGAGACTCACTTTATCTTTTTTTAACATTTATTCATTTTTGAGAGACAGGGTATGAGTGGGGCAGGGGTAGAGAGAAAGGGAGACACAGAATCCTAATTAGGCTCCAGGCTCTGAGCTGTCAGCATAGAGTCCAACATGGGGCTCGAACTCATGGACCGTGAGATCATGACCTGAGCTGAAGTCGGATGCTTATCTGACTGAGGCACCCAGGTTCCCCCTTTCCCTTGTTTTTTAATCCACATTAGTATTGCTCTTGACAGATAGACATCCAGACTTTGCTTAAGCATCCCTTCTTTGCTTAAAATCCCTTCTCCTCCCTGTGGCCTGCAAGCCCCTCAGAATGCCGCTGGTGCCGCCTCCCAGCCCCAGCCTCCTTCCTCCCCTGGGGCTGCTTCCACAACGGCCTTGCTGCACCTCAGACTTGTCCTCACTTCTCTGGCCTCCGCATCATTATTCATCCTTTTCTTTCTGCCTGGAGTACTCTTTCCTTAGCTCTTCTCCTGTCCATTTCCTGTCCCTCCGGGGTCCGTTCAAAGCGCACTTCCTCCAATAGGCCTTCCCTTCCGAGGACCCTCATCCATCCCAGCTCCCCCATCATGCACTCACAGCAGGCTCTGGGGTCCTTCCTAAGCACTGACTGGAACTTACGATTACATACATACCTGCTTGTCTTGCTGGCCTATTGCCCGTGTTTCCACTTCCCAAGGGCGAGGTCTAGGCCTCTCTTGCGCCTCATTGTGTCCCAGCACCCAGCTGAGTGCCTAGCACACAAGAGGTGCTTAATACATGTTGTAGAGTGAATGACTGAATGACAAATGGGAGCCATTCAGAATCCCTATGCTGGAGTCTTGATGAACAGAATTGATGTCTTTTAAATAAAACTGACAACTATCTGGGTGGCTTTGGAGACACGGTTCCTTTTTGTCAGAAAATCGCCTTTCCGAGGTGACTCCTAAAGGATGCCTTGACCTGTTCTTTGGCTCCATGAGGCCCCCAGGACCAGGGAGCACAAACAAGGGAGGGGGGTGGGCCCAGATGCCCAAATCCCTGATGTTGAAATAGCCTGTTTTTATAAACAGGGATGGGACGGCCACTGGGGAATCAGCGTGCAGGGTACTAAGATTTCTTGAACTTTTCCTTTCTGCCAGGCAAGGAACTCAGAGCCTTGCCTCTTATACTCCTCATAACAATGTGTGAGACGGGCGTGTGAGACGGGCTTTCTGACGCCACTTTACAGTTAAGGATGCTATGGCCCCAAGGGTTAGGAAATTGTGTGAGCCTAGAACCCAGGTTTCTTCTCTCTGTCCTGCTTCTTTGAAAGAAGATCCATGCTGGATTTGGAGAGGCCATTTGTGGTGGACTTAGCTTGACACTACTTAAGGCACTTCCCACCTTGTCCTGGATTATCTTTCCATTATTCATCTCTTCTACCTAGAAGTCCCTGGTGTTCACCCTGGTCCCTGCCTCCAGCCCCCCATAGTTGCTCCCCGGGTTCCATTTTGAATGAAAATGTCCTTGTAAAGTTTCCGTGTCCTTCAAAGTGTACCGTGATGACTCCGGGCTTCAGAGAGCTCTCTCCTACCTCCCATCGTCCATCAATCAGGACTAGACTCCATGTGTCAAAAACTCAAACTGGCTTCAAAAATAATTCTAGAGGGGCGCCTGGGTGGCTTAGTCGGTTAAGCGTCCGACTTTCACTTAGGTCATGATCTCACAGTTCGTGGGTTCGAGCCCCGCGTCGGGCTCTTTGCTGACTGCCAGCTCAGAGCCTGGAGCCTGTTTCTGTCTGTGACTCCCTCTCTCTCTGACCCTCCCCTTCTCACGCTGTCTCTCTCTCTCTCCCTCCTAGAAATAAATAAAACATTTAAAAAAATAATAATTCGAGAGGGCACCTTTGGCCCAGGGTTTACTGGCTTAGGAAACTTGACAGACCAGGAGTCGACTGAGGTTCAGGCAGAGCCGGACCTAAGGGTCCGACGGTGTTACCAGGAATCTGCTGATGTCGGCGTCCTTCTGAGCCGTGATGAGATGGCCCACAGGAGGTCCAGGAGCACTGCCTCGTAGCCTAACAACCTCAAAGAAAAGACGGCTTGTCTTTCTTGAGGGTTGGAGCCGAGGAGCTGACCTTTGTGGCTCTGATTGGCCCAGCCCAGGCCACGTGCTCATTTCTCAACCAATCGCCGTGGATAGTGAAAGGCACCCACCTCCGTATCTAAGGCGCGGTGCTGAGGTGGGGAAGGAGGCTCCCAGGAGAAAAGTCAAAATGCTTTGGTTGAAAGGAAAGGTAACCAGTACTGGTGTGCGCTGCCCACCAGCTATTTTCATGTGCGTATGTGTTGTCTCTCCAGCCGCTCCCCAGCTCACGGCCGCTCTCAAAGCCGAGCGCCTCCAGTTCACACAGCATTTCAGCGTTTCCAAAGAGCTTTCACATCTATACTTTTTAATTGTCACAGCCACCCTGTGGCCGCAGGTAATGTGTGCAGGTCAGGACCAGGTTATGACTGCGCTGATTTCTTATCCCTTGAGTGTCCAGGAGGTGTCAGGGCCACGATATTCCGCCTCTGACCAGCTGCCGCCCCAGATTGCCCAAATTTGTCATCATATGTTATTTTCTGTGTGTGCCGTGACTCGTGACAAAGGTGGGAAACGGGGCCCTGTGGTTGCACCCCCATCATCAATCTCGTGAGATCCTCACACTGTCACGCTAAGCAGATGCCGTCAGACCAATTCGCTGATGAAGAAACGCACCTGGAGGGAGAAAAGGAGTTGGCCGGGGCCCCCCAGTTGATGGAAGTGGCCATGATGGCTTAGCTTATGAAAAGAAAAAATACCAGAGCACTAAGAGCCGCAGGTCTCGGTGACTTCGGACAAAAGGCAAAGTTTTAAGAACGACTGGAAAAATAGCCAACCCCGTGGCTCCGTGGATTGAGTGGAAAGCAAGAGACCTCTACAGGGCTGAAAATAACACTATCTCCCAAGATGAGCAGGGTGCTAGTGTTTTCCATTCTTGATTTTTACTTTATCCTGTGTATAACTCTCAGATGTGGGAGTTATACCCATTCTACTGAGGAGGGAGCTGAGGCCCAGAGAAAGCAAGTAACTCGTCCAAAGCCATACACAGCATGGTCAGCAGCAGAGCTAAGATTCAAACCCAGGTCTTTCTGACTCAATCCTGTGCTTTACTCCAGAGTCCTAGAGATGGAAGAGCTCCCCACCCCGACTTTTTTCTTTAATTTAAATCCAAGTTAGTTAACATATAGAGTAATAACAACTTCAGGAATAGAATTTAGTGATTCATCACTCACATATTAACACCCAGTGCTCATCCCAACAAGTCCCCTCCTTAATGCCCCTCATCTCTTTAGCCCATCCCCCCACCCGGCACCCCACCAGCCACCCTCAGTTTGTTCTTTGTATTTAAGAGTCTCTTATGGTTTGTCTCCCTCTCTGCTTTTTATATTATTTTTGCTTCCCTTCCCTTATGTTCATCTGTTTTATATCTTAAATTCCACATAAGAGTGAAATCATATGGTATTTATCTTTTTGTGACTGACTTATTTCACTTAGCATAGTACACTCTAGTTCCATCCACGTTGTTGCAAGTGGCAAGATTTCATTCTCTTTGATCACTGAGTAATACTCCATTGTGTGTGTGTGTGTTTGTATACACACATACACACACACACACACACACACACACACACACACACACCGTCTTCTTCATCCATTCAGCCATCAGTGGATATTTGGGCTCTGTCTGTACTTTGGCTCTTATCGATAGTGCTGCTGTAAACATTTGGGTGCACGTGCCCCTTTGAATCAGCACTCCTGTATCCTTTGGGTGAATACCTAGTGGTGCCATTGCTGGGTCATAGAGTAGTTCTATTTTCAATTTTTTGAGGAACCTCCATACTGTTTTCCAGAGCGACTGCACCAGTTTGCATTCCCACCAGCAGTGTAAAAGGGTTCTGCTTTCTCCATGTCCTGGCCAACGTCTCTTGTTGCCTGAGTTGTTCATTTTAGCCATCCTGACAGGCGTGAGGTGGTATCTCTTTGTGGTTTTGATTTATATTTCCCTGATGATGAGGGACGCTGAGCATCTTTTCATGTATCTGTTGGCCATCTGGATGTTGGAAGAGCTCCCTTGGTGTTAACGGCCGTCTCCTCTATCCCCCTCTGCAGGTCTATATCATCCGGGTTACATGGTCCAGCGGCTCCACGGAGGCCATTTACCGGCGCTACAGCAAGTTCTTTGACCTCCAGGTAAGTATTTGGAGTCTCCGATGAGCTGCAGCATCGGAAAAGTTTTCCATTTTGACTTCAGAGTCTCGACCCTCACCCACAGTGGACACACCGTGTTCTTGTTTTATTTCCTAGACATAAAAATGATGTCCAGTGTGCTCCCTTGAGCAGCACAGGTACTGATGTCAGAATGATATAGAAATTAACATGGTCCCTGTATAAGAATGACATGCAAATCTGTGGAGCATATGTTTGACTACCCCAGGGGGAAAAAACCTTCCTGGCTTCAGGCACAGCTTGATCCAGGGTTTTTACGGCACCACCTCACCCACCTCCTTCCTCTCATCCTGCGTTCCTGCCTTCAGCAGCATTGGCTTTATCCTCAGAACCTGTGTGGTTACAGAATGCTCTTGGCTCCTACTCAGCAGGAAGGAGTGAAAGGTCACTTCCCAGAAGTCCCAGCAAACACAGTGTCCTGCACACCATCCCATCTCTTGACCTCACGTGTTCTCTTAGAAACCTGGGCGATATTAACTACAGACATCCTCGGTTGTATGAACCTAATCCATCCGAGAAATATTGAATAAAGAATTTTCAGAACCTGTATTTCGTGATTTTAAAGGGAGAGGAGATGATAATGTGCTTCTCACTGGTCTCCCCAATATCCCTAAAAGAATCTCAAACGCCTACATAACAGACTGCCAAGAGTCATTGTGTAATGTAAACCAACGAAGACTCCTGTTATCTAATTATTAACACGCAGTGAACTCGTTAGTGGTGTTTCGTGTTGACAAAATGCAACACAATCAAACAGTACCATATGTAAATTATATTTTTCTAATGGTCTACAGCAAACACGGATGTGCACAAAGGGACTGTATGTTGAGGATGCTAAGATACTGTCTAAAATAGACTTGGCAGGAGGGGTGTGGGGGCCAGGAAAGGACTGAACCCTGGGGGAAGGGAAAGGAAGTGACACCCAAGACCTTTGAACGCAATGAGCAGGGAGTACAGTCCTGTCTGAGAAGGACCGAGGTCCACACCCTCCTAGCCAGGTGCAGGGACTATTTAGGCAGATCTGTCACAGCAGGTCTTCAGTTTAGAGATTGACTATCAAGTAAACACTTTGGCAAGTTGCTAGACTGACTTCTTATACACAGGGTGTCTTTGTAGGGAATACTGCCTGTATTTTGCTTCCCGAGGCCTCTTGCTTGGCTGACACTTCCAAAATGGATGGAGGATAAGAGGGGACAGAGAACGGCGACGATCAGGATGGCTGTCCTGGGGATTATGGACATCCACGGAGCAAACGGCCCCCGGCAGCTTAGGCAGGAAGAGAGGAGTGGGGTAGATTTATGGGAGGAAGCAGGTGTGCCCCACGGAGCCCAGAGCAGGAAATGAAGACGGCCTCACAGGGCCCCTGGACCAGCACCTGAATGACCCTCTGAGGCCCAGCAGCTCGCCAGCTGTCTGTCACTGTGGCCCCCGGGTCTCCCATCAAGCCTACTTTGTTCAGCTGCTAGCCTGTCTGGACCAGCTTCCTCCCGTAGCCCATCGGCCACATCCCCCAGACAGCACCTCAGTCCCCCCTGGTGTCAACCCTCTGGGATTTCTAGGTGCCAAGTCCAGTTTCCAGGAGAGAGAGAATCTGATTGTCCCGAGGGTCCCGAGTGCACGCCCAAGCCTATCCGCTGTGGCCAGAGGGGTTGGGGTGTTGGCTCCAGCATCAGCTGGAGGCGGAGGCTGGATGACGATGGGGGTGAGGGGTCCATTGGAAATGGAAATGTCCATTGCCACTCTTTTGCAGCCGGGCGGCTCACCCACGGCTTTAGACCTTGACTCCCGGGATTAGAGAGACTGGGTTTAAGTCTCAGATTCGTCCTTCCGGTCTCAGCTTGGTGTCACCTCTGTATGTTTCTGAGACTCAGTCTCCCCATCTGCTTGATAAAGAATGACAGCACTTTCCTCGTGCATTCATGGTGACGGTTAATGGGGCTGTGCCTCGCTCAGTAAGCACATTAGCTGCCATTAGCTGTCCCTCTGTTCAGATGGGACTTGCCCGAGGTGACCTCATTTGGGAATGCCTGAGCCAGAGCATGATCACGAGTCTCCCTGGCCCCAAGCCTGTACTCCCTCCGCTCTCCTGTTCTGACTCAACTTTCTTATTTCCACCAGAACTTAAAAGTGAGGTTTTCTTCCCCACTCAGCATAATTGGCAATAATTGGGGGTTTGGTAAAACATAAATAGCTGCCTCGGACTCCCCTCCCTGTTGGTCCGGAGGCTGTAGTTCAGCCGGCCTTAAAGAGGCCCAGATGGGTGGCTGGAGCCCGGAAGTCCTGGAATTCCAGAGGGCCCTGCTGTCCTAGAAACGGCCTACCACCCACCCCCCAAATCCCGGAGGAGGAAGCTGGAAGAGGGAAGGACAGGACCCCACCAGCCAAAGTCAGCTGTTCCCAAAGACCAGGCAAGGAGGCCATCCCATGTGTGGGGCCGTGACACCCTAAAGTGGGGTGATTGCACGATCCCACCCTCCCCTTCCTCCTGTCTGGCGAGTAGCCTTGGCTTTGTCAAAAGTAACTTGGCACAGAAGAGCATGGGGAGGGCCAAGCTTTCGTGGAGAAACAGCTAGGCCAATGTGGCGTAATGGAAAAAGCAGAGGGCTCGGTCAGGAGACTTGGGGCCCGGCCACCTGTGCTGTGAGGCCTGGGGCATGCCTCTTAACCCCTCTGTGCCTGATTGTCCTCACCAATGACAAGTTAATGACAAAAGAAAGAGCTGGCATTTCTGGAAAATGGGCTGCCAAGCATCTAGATACAATGACTCCTTTAATCCTCATACTAAGTTTATTGAATTACATAGATGAAGAATTTTAGGCTCAGAGAGGTTAAGTCATTTGCACAAGGTCACACAGCTAGTGAACGTCAGAACTTAGATTTGAAACCAGGCAGGTGACACCAGATACTGCACTCTTAGCCACTGTGCTGTCTAGTGCTCCTCTCTCTAGTGGCTGCTTCACAGAGTTTATATGGAGTTAAAAGTGATGATGTGTGTCCAGGAGAGCCAGATCTGCAGAGCCAGAAAGCAGATCAGTGGTTGCCAGGAGCTGGGGGGAGGGGGAAAGGGGGAGAGGCTGTTAATGGGTACTGGGTATCTTTTTGGGAGTGATGAAAATGTTCTGGAATTAGATGATGGCCCCGGTAGCACAGCCTTGGGAATATACTAAAAGCCACTGAATTGTACACTTTAAAGGGGTGAAATTTATGGTATATGAAGTTTATCTCAATTGCTTTTCTAAAAAGAGTGATGATGTGTGTGAGCAGTTTCTGGGTTGTCAAGCCCTGAGCAAATGTCAGCTGTTGGGATTATTGATGGGCGTGGGTTGCTGCTAGGAACTGGCATAAAGATCAGAGAAGGAGATGATGCCAGTTTAATAGAGTGGTTAAGATCCTGGGCTTTGATCCAAACACTGCCACTTATTGGCTGTGAGATCTTGTTTTAGTCAGAACTGTTTTAGTTGCAGATGACAGAAACCTACTCGAAATGGATTATTCAAAAAGAACGTTGATTGGCAAAATGTAACTGAGACATCTAAGGGTGCTTGGCTGCAGGTGTGGCTCGATCCAGGGGCAAAACTGTCGATGAGGACCTGCCTGTCTCCACTTCTTAGCTTTCTTTGTGCCCAAGCAGGGTGGTGGGTAGTACAGCGGTGGCCACAGCTCCAAACTCTATCCAACAGGTCAGGTCAGCTCAGTGGCTTCAGGAAAAAGAATGCCCCCAGCGATTTAAGCAAAAGTCTCATTGGTTTATCTGGGGTCACTGGCTGGGTCAGTCCGGGCCAGCCTTAGGGACTGGAGTAGAATGCATGTCAACTGACCGAGGAGTAGAAATATTCCCCAGAAGAATCAGACCCCTGCTGCCAGAAAGGGGGACATATCCTGCAGTTGACAGAAAACAGTGTTCCTTCTGGTCTGGGCGAGACATTCAGACAGAGCAAATCGTCTCCAGAGAGGCTGCCTGGGATAGAAAGGAGGAGCATGACTCCGGTTCCTTTGTGGGAAGAGACTCACAGTCACCAGCGAGAAGGTTTGTTATGACAATTCGCCTTCCAATGTGATTTCCTGACTCTCTTACATTTAGAAGAGCCAGACCTAGAGCCTAAACTCTTACGTTTAGAAGAGCCAGTGGTCATGGCTGCCACTCCTAGCTAACATCTGGCCATGTGTCTCATTCACACGAGGGTGCAGGAAATAGAGCTCTGGGCTTGGAACCAGACCCAGCGTCAGGTCTTAGCCTTCTGTCTTCCCAACTGTATGGCCTCGGGCAGGCCACTCAGCCTCTCTGAACCTCCCTTTCTGCCCTAGCCTCAGCCCATGTTGGAGAGTCCATCAGAGCATGACAGAGGGAGCTGGAGGTGGCCAGAATGCCCACAGAGTTGAGGGCAGTGCCCAGAGGAAGTGTGGTTTGGTTGAGGGGCATGGTAACCATTATCAGCAATCATGTACTGAAACGCACCAGGTGCCCGTTTTCGGTGCCATCTCGTGCAGTCCTGATTTGCAAGCCCGAGTCAGCATTGTGTCCACGTCACAGATGGGGAAACTGAAGCTCAGACAGGCAGAGTCACGTGCCCAGAAACAGCATGGCTAAGATTTTTAAGCCGCGGCACAGCAGAGTCTGAAACCTGTGCTCCTAACCACTGAGCCTCCCTGCCTCCCTGAGGCCCCGTATTGCCTTCACCCATGTCTCTTCAGATATAGATTTGCCCCAGAACTCTGCCTGTGGCTGGCCTTCAGAGGCGCATTTGGCGCTCCCTCTAGATGTGGGCTGAGCCTGTCTTGAGGGCTACTCTGAGCGGACCACAAGCCCGTCACAAACAGGCCTCGGATGCGTGAGGGGGTCCACTCTACACCGCGCTGTGCAGCCTTTGCTCTCTGAGTTTTCCCACTGGCTCATTTTGTCCCCCAAGTGTTCAGAGAGGGCCCTCTGTCCCGGCCAGGGAGCCCAGGCAGAGCTTACTTCCTGG